CACTCCAGGGTACTAGAGTCTCCTCCAGCACCACAATTCAAAAGCATCAATTCTTCAACAGTCAGGTTTCTTTATGGTCCAGCTCTCAATTCTATACATCGCTACTGGAAAAACCATAGCTTTGACTATGCGGACCTTTGTCGGCAAGGTGATGTCTCTGCTTTTTAAGATGCTGTCGAGGTTTGTCATTGCTTTCCTCCCAAAGAAGCAGGTGTCTTTTAATTTGGTGGCTGCTGTCACCATCTGCATTGATCATGGAGCCCAAGAAAGTAAAATCTGTCACTGTCTCCATATCTTCCCCTTCTGTTTGCCAGGTGGTGATGGGACCAGTGGCCATGATGTTAGTTTTTTTGATGTTGAGCATCAGACCATTTTTTGCGCTCTCCTCTTTCACCCTCATTAAGAGGTTCTTTAATTCCTCCTCACTTTCTGCCATCAGAGTGGTATCATCTGCATATCTGAGGCTGTAGATATTTCTTCTGGGAATCTTAATTCTGGTTTGGGGTTCCTGCAGTCCAGCCTTTCGCATGATGTATTCTGCATATAAGTTAAATAAGCAGGAGGACAATATACAGGAGTTAATTCAACACAGTGAGTTCAGTATAGCAGTAAGCAATGCAAGTTGAAGAAATAGCAGACAAGGGATATTCTAGTCTCTTGCACATTTCTTCAGATTTAATCTTCCTGTTGCTCAAACAGGACTTCAGCTTTGTGATATTTAAGAAAACAAGAAGCATCTCCCATATATTCAAACTGTCATGAATAATTGATTAATAATAATCCAGTTCTCAAGATTAAATAGCCTATTATATGCCGAAGTTTTACAGATAGAAAGGTCAGTGCCATCCATCACTTCAACTTCAAATTTATCCTCTTCTTCACTAAATATCCTACTGGTTTGGTCTGGAAAGGGATATTTCAAGTAGTTTAAGGAGCACAAACTTGTGTTGGATGTGTTTCACCTCCTCACTAAGAGGAGGAATTCAGTTAACTAAAGTACCCCAAATGCTTGCTCTTTCTTTCTTTCTTTCTTTCTTTCTTTCTTTCTTTCTTTCTTTCTTTCTTTCTTTCTTTCTTTCTTTCTTTCTTTCTTTCTTTCTTTCTTTCTTTCTTTCTTTCTTTCTTTCTTTCTTTCTTCTTTCTTTTTTCTTTCTTTCTTTCTTT